AATTAGCATCCGTATCTTTTAAACTTACAACAGGCCAAAGGCCTTGAGAGTGACGGAACACTCGGAATACCCCGTCTCAGAGACCGACTCTTCATCCAGCAGGTGCAGTCCCCTCCCCCCGGAGAGCAAGGAAGAAGTGACCGCCCTCTCGCAGGAGGCACGACCGAGGGACACTCTACTCCTCACGAGCTGGCTCCCAGCGGCACCGCGGGCAGACGGCCCACGGCTGAGGGTGTTCTGACGACACCTGCAGCGCATGGACGCTCGCAGCCGGGAGGTGGAGACGCAGACCACGCGGGCCGTCGGCAGGTATCGACAAGTCACACGGAGCCGAACACACAGGGCGCCTCTCAGGGAAGGAGCAAAGGCGCCATCTCTGAGAAACCCAAGTTTCAACTGTATGGCAGTCTGAGGAAACAGGACACCACGGGCCCGGGAAGACTCAAGGGGAGGACTCGGAGCTGGGCTTCCTCGGATCTTGCTGGGAAGAGAGGCCTCGACCGGGCCCCCACGATGACCCTGAGCTGCCTGCCCAGCCGGTCCGAGGGCTTCTCCCTGCCCCAAATCATCCAGGACCGGCCTCTACATCCCCTTCTTCTCATTTCCTCTTCCAGAAACTCTCCCTCTCTCCAACTCCCACCTAATCTTTTTTTTTAAAGGTTTTATTTATTTTCAGAAAGAGGGGAAGGGAGGGAGAAAGACAGGGAGAGAAACATCGGTTGGTTGCCCCTCGAGTGCCCCCTACTGGGGACCTGGCCTGCACCCCAGGCCTGTACCCTGACAGGGATCGAACCAGTGACCCTTTGGTTTGCAGGCCAGTGCTCAATCCATGAGCTGCACCAGCCAGGGTTTTTTTGTTTGTTCGTTTGTTTCTAAAGATTTTATTTATCCACCCAATCTTTAAGACCTCATTCAAATGGCCCTCTTCCCTGAGGCCTCCTGGCCGCACTTGTCACACACCAGGCGGGCACGCCACACTCACCCTTCCCAAAGAGGCCCGACCTTTGTTACCAACACCCTCTCTGCGGCAGTGAGCCACGCCCCCTGGGTTACTCACACCAGCTCCGGACAGCACCCACTCATCCCTCCCCTCCCCTCCACTGCCCCGTTTCTGTTCTCTCCCATGGCAAGGATCCTGCGAAGGGCTTCCTCACCTTCCGTTCTCTCTTCAGTGGGAAAACTTGCCCCCCCCCCACCACTTCACCTGGCCACCCATCCCTCCCTCCACCAGCTCCGGGCCCTGGGCAGCACCCCACAGTGGGCCCGCACCCTCCCTCTGGGAAACCTTTCTTGTGTGGTCTCCAGCCCTTTTCTTCGTTCCAACCTGTTGGGCGCTCCTTCCCAAGCCCCTCTTTGTTCCCGTCTCGGCTCCTGTCCAAAGCCACGGTAGCAGCTGGACCAAGCTGGCCCCTCGGTCCTCTCTCCCTCTGCGCCCAGCACGTATTCCCGTCACCTCCCAAGCCCGTGGCCCGGTCCAGCATCGGCCCTTCCAGGGCCCCAGACGTTGCCTGGTGCCTGGTTGCAGGCACCAGCAAGCATTTTGCTAATATTCCTGCAACAGTGTTTTTACCAGATGCTCTTCTCGGCACTTGAGCTGACAGCGTAAACTGGCATCCCTGGTTTAAACAGCTGCAAGGGATGTAAGTTTCCAGTATATTATAGATATTGACTTCTGAAAATACAAGCGTTATGTCACTCTTCTAAGTGTGTCTGCTGGACTCTACGGGGCGGTGCCCACTGCCTCCATTTACGAAGCACACGAGCGCGCTCCTCCTGGCCCGCCAGGAAGCTCACAGCACTTCCTTCTCCGGCATCTCCCATCCCCGTCATCGCTGCAACCGCTAAACCCAATGTTACATATTCGTGCCCGAGACGGCTCTATCGATCACACTACAGATGTGCATAGAAACCGCATGTTCTGACTTTCTGTGGCCACGAGGAAATGCTAACTTCTTCTGGACTGAGTTGGCACTGCCGTCATCAAGACCCCACTGATCAGAACAGAAATGCAGCATCTGCTTCGGTAAACAGAAGCCGTGGCGTCACAAACAGAGGCAGGCAGGACTTTTGCCACAGTTGCCTCACAGATTGTGGGCAAACGTTCGGCTGGGCCCCGGTCTTCCTTCTTCTACGTGTGGGTGCAGGAAACCTTGTCCCACAGACACGTGGGTGGAACTGGATGAGCTTGGTTATGGCCGTGTGCCCACAGCCACTTACCCACGACCACTGCCAATGCCAGTGGGTACCCACTTCCTCTGTCAGCAGGAGGGCGCCTTCCATCTGCCAAAAGTCTGAGGTCTTATCCTACAGTGAGTGTGCTCCCCAGATACCCACACATCTGTGGGCGCCCTGAGGTTTCCACACCCCAGGGCCATGGCCCACACCAAGACTGGGGGTTTCGGGTCGCCATCTCCTGGACAGTACAAGGGACCCTTTCTCAGGAAGGCAAGGGACCTGGGCCCTGGGCAAAGGTTTATCCCACCCCAGTGGGGCAGTTGGAAGATGCCGCTCCTCTGCAGGGCCCTGAATCCCCCTGGTCACATCCCACCTGGGCATACCTGTCATCTTCACCTTAGTAAATGGCACCTCCTGTCACCTACTGCACATTCCCCAACCAAACCAGCAGCAAGGTCTGCCTGGCTCCAGAAATGCACACTGTCCTCACTCCTCATTCCCCTTCTGCCTCTCCCCATTTCTAGGACAGTCTTTGGGGCCAGCGTTTCCCACGTGTCAGCCACAGAGTCATCAATAAAAAGACACAGGTCTGTTCCCCCCCTGCCCAAAGCCCCCAGCGGCATCCACTTGGCACTCAGAACAGCCCATGCTGCCCTCCAGTACTTTCTCCCCTGGACCACACTGGCCTTTCTCACCCTTGGATGCACAAAGCTTATTTCCACCCCAGGGCCTTTGCACTCGCCATCCGTCTGCTAGTGACGCCCTTACCCTAGATCTCCACTGAGCGCCCCCAGCACTGGTCTCCAGCTCAGACAGACCCTTCTGGTCCCAAATGCCCGGGTGTACCCACCCCTACCTGTACCACGGCCTCCACTGGCTCTACCCACCCTCAACCTGACACAGCCTTATTGTTCATCGTCTTATCCTCCTACCCCCAGACCACCGGTCCGCCCGGCTCCATATTCCTCTTGCTCTCTGTAGTGCCAGGCACACAGCAGTCGCCCGGGGAATAAACACTTGTTGAACGAATGGCCAAACAAATGAACGTACACATTCAGGGACCAGGAGGTTAAACTGAACAGGGACCGCCCGCACTTTCCAAATGTGAAAAGGAAGAGGAAGCTGAGAAAGCATTTAAGTCGCTGCTTACAATCTTAAGCTCTGAAATCACGTGTCAGAAAGAGTTGCCTTAAATCTCCTTTCACCTGCAAAGTGGCAGAGTGGTCTTCTCCTGGCCTTCTACACAGATGTTATCAAAAGAACAATACGAGGGATATGTCCTAAGGAAACAGAGTCCTTTCTCAAATACAATTGCTCCAAGAATAGCTATTAACCCCTATTGGTGTTCATTTATTTGTCTCCTGAAAAAACAACAACAACAGGATGTCCCTTCTGCTTCCAAAAGCAAACATATTACTATAGGCCTTGCTGGCAACGTTTCTGTACAACTATGAATCAAAGCTGTCGGGGGTAATGGATAAATTTTACTACGTTTCCCTTTCAAAATCCAAACGGTATTTCTCCTATTTCTTAACCATTCGCCATAAGGCAGTGATGTCAAGGAAATGCAGAGGAGCGGAGTGGAGCAGTGAAAATGTGGAGAACGTGGAAATGTCCAGGTTCTGAAACAAAATACAGTGTGGTGTCTGTGAATGGGGGGGGAGGGGGGGCGAGGATCTCACTTATAAAAACAAAGTGTCTGCCCTGGGGCAGTCTCAGAGAGAGAGTTCTCATTCTTGCCCTTTAAGGTTTATCACAAAACCAGTGGCTCATTTGCTTGTCACCCTTAAACACACCCTCGGGAACCACAGTGGGTTCTCCGGACCCAGTCGGGATCATATGAGAGAGGCTTACGCAAATGTGGTTTTTGTGCGTTGGCATCTTTACATACACACGCGGAGTCCACCTGCCTTTGGTCACACACTTGTTTCTACCATTTTAATCCGCCCTCGAGGGGAGAAGGAAGTAGGCAATTTCCGAGCATTTGTGGAAAACAAAACCTCATCCACTCCATTAGGAGCTTAATAAGGGTAAACACATAATAGCTATAACCATCAGGTAGACCTGTATTTCCATAATGAGTTCCCACTTCTAAAGCTGACCTCACCGAGAATGCCTGTCCCTCTCATCAGAGGCCACATGGCCAGCTCCTCCACCTGTCTGCGCCAGGGCGCGCCCAGCCCAGCCACCCACTCGAAGGCGGGCACATGTCACCTGCTCACGGATTTGACTACCTTCCCGCTGCCACCCTGGGGTTTACAGAAACAGGATGCAGGGTGCTCTTGGAGGGGCCTGGGCAGCCCCAATCGCCCAGGCTCCTGCTTCTCTAACCGAGGTGACACAAGTCCAGGGGCCCTCGCGCGCGCGCCCCGGGGCTATGCCCCGGTAAGGAGAGAGTGACACCACGGGGGGGGGGCGTCGGCGACCAAAGCACCGGGGGCGGGGACGGCGGGCCGGGGGCGGAGGAGCCCCCCTCCCCGCGCCCGCGGGCCGCGCAGGCGGGGGACGGTGGGCGCCGGCCGGTGGGCGGCGGGCGGCGGGCCCGGAGCGCCCCGGCGGCGGGGCGGGCGACGGGCGGCACTCAGGGCGATCCCGGAGCGGCTCCGGGAAATCCAGCCGGGTTTTGACTCTGATCGCCCACGGTGCCCACAGCCGGCGAATGTAACAAAGAACAGTCGGCATGGCGGATGGACCGGGGCGACGGCGGCAGCAGGCCGAGCGGGGCTGGGGCGGCGGACGGGCGGGCGCGCGGAGGAAGCAAGCGCGGGCCGGGCGGGGGCGGTGCGCGCGGGGACGACCGGCGGGCGCGGGGCCCTGGGCTTTACCTGCCTTTGGAATGTGCAGAGCGGGATCGGATCCGGACTCCGGGTTGCGATCCGCTCCGGAAACTGCGCAGCACCGGAAGCCGGGGGGCGGTAGCGTGGCATTGTGGGAGTTGTAGTTCGCTGCGGGACGCGGGCGGCGTGGCCCGGGAGCGGGCGGCCTGGTGGCGGTGGCTGGGACTGGGAGCGGGCAGTATGGATGGAGCGGCGGGCAGTATGGTCCGAGAGCAGGCGGCGTGGACTGAGGAGCAAGGGGCGCGGCGTGAGCGGGCCGCGTGGATCTGGAGCGACCGGGAGAAGAGGGCCGCGTTCCGACTGCCCTTTTCTTCGGAGCAGGAGGAGGTGTCTGGCGGCCACGCGCTACCCCTTACCGAGTGGCTGGGCCGGGCCCCGCCACCCCGGCTGAGACGTGCACGGACGACTCGCACAGCCCTCCTTACCCTTGTGGTGGCTACGTCAAGTCTTGGCGTTCTTTGCGGGGTTAGGTGGAAGAAGGGGTCGAATTTTTCATTAAATCAGGCCTGGGGTGTTTTGCCTAATCATAACTTCGGAATGTAGCCGATGGGCTGCTGCGCTTCTTGGCCATCTTTCTAGTCCATCGGTTAACATAGCGCTTGCTCTGCCCCCAACAAGCCCTTGAAGTATTAGATGCCCGGCAGTTGGCTGGCCAGCGGCACAGCCGGGCCCTTGAATCCTGGCGGCGCGGGCTGCTAAACGGGCAGTCCCCGAAACGCACCTGTGCCCCAGGGCAGAGGCAGGTTGAGGCCAGACCCTGGCACTGAATGTTTCTTCCTCTTCCCATTATCAGCTTGGGGGATCCCATCCATCCAATGGAGCACGGAAACAAAATATTAGAAATGGAAGGGACTAGAGGGTCTTTTAACCTAGTCCTGGCCTTTTAGAGTCAGAAGTAAACTGCCTTGTTCATGTCTGCCTGGCCAAAACCCCCATTGGTAATGTCAAAGACAGGTGATGAACTGGGGGGACATTATCTGAAATTGACACAGGCAAGGATTCTTTTGCGTGGTACATGTAAAACTCTTAGTCAATTTTTTTAAAAAAAAGTATAAATAATCCAATAGAAAAAAAAACAGTCTAAGGACAGTTCACAATAAAATACAAGGGCTCTTAAGGTTATGAGAAGCTGTTCAAATACTGTAATAAGAAAAAATAAAGTGCAGTGAGATCATTTTTATCTGTTACATTAGCAACGATTTTTTAAAGTATAATAGCATTGTTTTGAAGAGACCAAGAAAACTGGCTATCTTATCCTTTTCTGGTGGGAGAATAAATTGGTATAGAGGGGTTTTTATCCCACCACCAGGTTCACTTGTATGAGTTGGTACATGTGTAAGGTTAGTCCTGGGTACCCATTGGAAGGGCGCATCCACAGGTATGGGGCAGTGTGGAGTGTCCTGCTGCTAGGGACTCCTTTCTCGCCCTCCCTGACACCCTGCAGTGACCTCCCAGTGGTCTGGACCACAGCCTCCCAGACCATGTTGTTCCTGTCACCTCTGCCAGGCTCACTAGCTGAGCCTGCCTCTGGTCTGCAGACACGGTCTCAGAGTCCTTTGTACCCACTCCTTCCGTTTTGGAACACTTTCCCTGGTCTCCCAGGTCTTTGCACAAATGCTCCCCAACCTCTAAAGGCACAAAATGACCACTACTGCTCATGTGCACCCCTCCCCACCACCCCACACACACCCTTCTAGTGGCATGACAATTCCCGAATGCCCAGATGGCTGGTTCTCTGGGCCTCTCTGTACTACCTGGGTATCAGCACGCAAAATCAAAGCAGGTCATTCACGGAAAAAGTGACAGATCACAGCAGGGCTGAAGAGGTAGATGAGCTCAACCCACATAAAGGCATTTCTCGCGGGAATGCACGGGGCACAGGGCGGGGGCTCACAATATCACCGTCTCCTCGGACGGGTTCTCAGCGTGTTTAGTGTATTCCTCTGTGAACGCTGGAAATGGTGTCTTTTTTTTTCTTTTAATCACTGTTCAAGTACAGTTTTTTCCCTTTTACTCCCAATCCAGCCCACCCACCCAACCCTCCCCTCTTCCCTCCCATTACCACCCTCCCCCTAGTTTTTGTACATGTGTCCTTTAAATTTGTTCCTGTAAACCCTTCCCATTGTCCCCTGAAATTCCCTCTTCTCTCCCCTCTGGTCACTGTCAGCCTGTCCTCTATCTCAGTGTCTTTGGTTATATTTTGCTTGTTTCTTCGTTTTGTTGCTTAGGTTCCTGTTAAAGGTGAGATCACGTGGTATTTGTCTAATGGTGTCTTTTTAAGACAGATTGATATCCAAAAATTTTAAGGTAAAAAATTTGGTTGCTTAAAGTTTCAAATTTTCAGTGATTACCGCTGATGGAATGAATGTACAATCTTTGAGCCCCAGGCAGAAAAAGAAAAGAAAAGCCATCTATAACAGATATTAGTGGGGAACTTTGAATATGGACGTGATACTCGATAATAGCATTGAATCAATGAAAAGTTTTCCCAGCATGGACATTGTGCCAGATATGATAGGCGGGGGCTGTCATAGGAAGTGCATTCTTAGAAAATGCATTCTGAAGAAATTTAGGGTGAAACGTGATACCTCAAAAGGTCACAGAATTGGTGAATCTAGGTAAAGGATCATTCTGTAGGTTTGAAATTTTAAAAAATAAGCTGGGGTAATTTAAAAAAAAAACATAAACAGAAGAACTTCCATTATTACCAGTGGGTTTTCCTAAGAATACCATCTTCTCCCCAGGCAAAGACCAGCTGTGGCATTAAGAAGTAACCACTCCACCGCATGATCCCCGGTTGGGGGTGATGACCTTAGTCTGACCCATCTCATCAGCTCTGGTTATTGATTTAAGTATAAAACTCCGTTAGTACATTGTAGACATAATGTATCCTAAGCCACTTCTCACATCCTCTCTAGCTTGTGTTTTCAGTCTGGCTCATTTTCCCCATCCAGATAAAGAAAGAAGCCATTAGCACATCATTTAAATCCTACTATGTGCAAAGCATTGCATCACCCTTCATATTCTTCTCACCCATCACAGGGAGCATTACACTTACAGTCCAGAAAAGACCACATGATGCCGTAAGTCCTGTTCTCTCCATTTGACACAAGGCAGCAGAGACTTGTGACTTTGACCATGGATTCTCCAGTCAGACAGCCTGGGTTCAGACTCTCCTCTGCCACTTACCTGCTGTGTGATCTTCGGCAAGTTACTTAACCTGTCTGCGCTCCATTTCCCCATCTGTAAAGCTGGGCCAGATCATAGTTCACCGGCTTATCTCAAAGAGTACAGGAGTCACTATGTGTAAAGCACTGGAAATCATTCCTGGTGCATAGTAAGTGTTCAATTAGTATTAGCTAGTATCGCTGTGATCTCAAGTCTTTCTCTATTTTTTGTAAAAAGTATCAAGTGGACACCTTACATGTAAGGCACCTAAGCATCTAACTTGACCTCTTCAATATTGAGGACGTGAACAGAATCAATAGTTTTGAATGTCTGGCACCTGCGAGGCACAACCCGGCAGCGTGCACTTCGGACAGTCAGGGCAGAGAGCCGGGGTGAGTGGGGACTCGTGGAGAAGCTGATGCTTCCAGGTCACGGTGGGAAGTGTTTGGCCTGGCCCTCTCTCCCCTCAGGGGGTACACTGAACCAGGTCATCCATCTGGTATGCAGCCCTCTGTGGAGAGTGACCTGCCTTCTCTTTTAAATAAATGACTCCTTGACCTGGACGCGCAGCACCCTGAATTCGTCAAGGTGACTGAGGGCAAAGACAGCGTGTTTTTCGCCATGTGCATCCCCTCTGTCGGGCCCTGTCCCCTGACCCTGGTAGGATGGGCATCGGCTGCCTGTGCTTATCTGGTGCCACCAGCTGACTTCAGTCAGGGGGGTGCGGCTATGAGCCCAGGGAGCTCGGGCACTTGCGTTCTCACTGGGGAGCGAGCGTGGAAGAGAGCATATGGGCCATGTGATAGGGCTGGGGCGTGCTGACAGAGGCGCCCAGGGCTGCGCTGACAGAGGCGCCCAGGGCCGCCCTTGGTGGTCGAAGCCCCTTCGTGGAGAAGGCAGGGCCTGAGTCCATTGAGAACATCAGAAAAGTAAGGGGTGTGTGCTGGGCGCACCTCCCAGAGTGGCCACAGGGAAAGCAGACTAGTTTGGGCCGTGTAGCCGGGACCGGCTGAACTCAGTGTCCACGGGAGGTGACAGGTAGGAGGAGATCAGGTTCGGGAAGCTGGTAAATTAGGACACGCCCATCCAGGCTCCTGGGGGGGGTGGGGGTGGGGGTGTCGGCCCCAAGTGCACTTCAGGTCACACAGGAAGCAGTTCAATCCCAAGCCTGGAACCCTTCAGTCCCAAACAAAATGCAGTGCTGTCACCTTTTCTCACCTTGAGGGTCCAGAATCTGAGCCCTGTGATGACTAGGGCTTTGCATGGGCGAACTCTTACCCTGAAATGCAAAGCTGGGGCTCCATCTGGGCTCTGGAGCGAGCACTCCACACCCAAACAGGCAGGTGGGCTCAGAACAGCTGAGAGGAAGGTTGAGGGGCAGGGGGGTTAGTCCAGGGGAGTCTGGTTGTTCCGCCAGTGCACCTGGTCTCTGAACGCTCCCCTGCTTGGGCACAGCCAGGGGAGCGAAGTCGAAGGAAGCGGAGGAACTGATAACAGCATGGAGAGCTGCCAGCAAGGGTTGCACGGGACGTGGCTATCCGTGTATTGCTCTAGACCCAGCGGCCCTGCCCCACCCAGTGACGGCCGCGAGGCCCGCGCAGGTGCGGACACCACCCGCCCCGTGACCCCACCAGGCGTCTGCTCTGCTGACCCCGCCTGCTCTGCACTCACCCGTGGGCCACGGCCGGGCACAGCGTTCATAACGGAGGGTAATGGATGGATAAAAACGTCCACCCCAGGGGGAAGGCGCCTCTCAGGGCTCTGGGGGGTCACGAAGGGTCCCGAGGGCACCTTGTGGCAGGTTGTGCCGCCAGGGGCCAGTCCAGGTAGACAGACCCCGACTGGCAGCTCCCAGGATGTACCGTGACCCGAGAGTTCATGCTACCACTGACTCCCTAGCACGTGGTTTGGCCCCAGCCCTAAACCAGGGCACTCAGTGACTTAAAAGTCCAATAAGAAGGATGTCAGGAGGAAGGCCCTTGGCTGGGAACCGGCGAGGAGGAAGCCTCTTCCCTTACACCAGTGACCAGGCCAGTCACGTGCCGTGGCTGCTGACGCACCTGACCGAGGAAAGCCCAGGTCTGAGGCCCTCAGAGAACCCCTCCGGGCCAGCGCAGGCTCCGCAAAAACGAGTCGGTTTTAGTGTTCCATGTGTACATTTATTTCTTCAAAGACTGTTCACGCTCCAGCCCCATCGTCCCCAGCCGCACCCCCCGCACAGGGCTGGGCGGGGCTGGCATCGGGTTTTAAAGTGCCAACAAGGAATACAATCATTGTCATATAAATTCATCAACACACTGGATCGCAAGCCAAACCTTTCCACATGCCTAGAAAACCTTTCAGTTTCTTCTTTAAAACAAACAAACAAAAAATGTAGCTTTAGTGTGACACTGGGCAAACACAAGTACAAGCCTAAATGATAAGTGGTACGTCACTGATCAGCGGGAGTGCTAAACCCATCTGCCTGTTCACGTGTAAAGCGCAAGTGCTGAAGAAAAGGAACCGGAGGTGACCTGAGTTTGCTTCGCAGGACTGGGCGGCGCGTGGGTCCCGTGCCGCTTGCTTTGGTGATCGCGCCGTGGCAGTTGGGGGCGGTGGGCTGCCTCAGGGTCTGCGCCAACGCGAGACCCGCTTCCCATCTGGGAGAGGTAAGTGGTCTGACCGCCGACGCCCACCGCCTTGAACGCCGAGTTTCCAAGGACCGTGAGATTATTTACTCGGGAAGCACCCACATTTGGTGACAGCAGAGCAAACCTTCTGCTCAAGAAGAACATTTGCCACTTTCTCCTATGGATGTGGCTAGGAGAACCAGTCAAAGATCTAGACAGGCTTCTAATTTGTGATTGGTTGGCAGTGACTGGCCAGGTAGCCATCACCAGGAATCAAGGGCTAGTTTTGAACTTCAACTTGAGACGTGGCTTAAATAAAGTACTCTGTCTAAGTAGCTGGTTTTGAACAGAACAATGAGATAGATACTTCTGTTGATGTTACATTACTTAAAGCTCCACTCCCTGCCTCCCCGAAGACCACAGGACACCCTCTGCAAAGTGCCCAGAAGCGCTGCCAGCCCATTAAAACCCTCCCACACTCCTGGCTCCAGACACATGTCAGATTAGTGTGCATGAGGAATCACTACTAAAATACCATCCTGAAAAAATTCCATCAAGACCAAAAAAAGCAGACGGGAAAGCCCCTGGAGCTACTAAAGCGTGTCAAAAAGGTCAGGGAATCGGTAGGTTGCAAATTAGCGTGCTTTGTATCTGGTGTATAATCGCAATTGATATTTCACCGTCGTGACATCGGCTTTAACATAAATACCCTGCACCATTAAAAAGCACACCGGGACACACAGCTTGGAAAAGAAACATTCACAGTATCGATGCAGCCCATTGTCTCGCGGCGCTCCCCTGACGGCCTTTTCTCCTGCTGTTCCCGGCTCTGTTCTTCATCCTCCGTAACTTCGGAGAAGGCCATTATGGAGACAAAGTGTGTGTATCTGGAGGACGGGCTCCTGGGTCACGGGCAAATGGGCAGGGGTCTCACGTCTACCCCACAGACACAAAGAATCGTGGACCTCCATGACAACATTCTCCACGCCCGTGTTAATACACTCGCTTCGCAGACAAGGGCGGGGTGACGCCCACGGGGCACTTTCCCGGGGTCCGGGGGAAATTTCAAGTCACGGAGAAGCTGAGAAAGCAGAGAGAGCCCTTGACGGAGACAGCAGCAGGGAACAGGGTACTCCTGGGGTCCATGGCTAAAAAGTTTTTTTTTTTTTTTTTCCCCAGGGGAGAGGGGAGAACGAGAAAAACCCAATTTAAAATTCTGATAAAATCACACTGGAATAAATAGAGTCCCTTTGAATTTCAGGATTAAACAAACACAAAAACTGTACTAAAAACTTCTGACCAGTGTCTTGTTTGCGGACACACAATGTCCTCTTGGAATCAATCCTTGCGTGTTACACGTCTGCCCGCCGCGAGAAGGAACAGAAATCCTTCAAGCAGAACAAAACATTAAAGGGGCCATCGTCCCAAAAAGACCTGTAGTGACCACTGCCCTGTGGGGACTCAATTGGTATCAATGTATTTCATAATGCCAGGTGCTACTTTACAACGATTAAAATCGGAATAAAATCTATACAACAAAGAATAGCAAAAAAGTCATTTTACCCTTGCTTGGTAATTCCTGGGACACTGAGGATTTTTAAATGTGCCTCTTAAGATAAAATCCTTAAGGTCATCTAATTTCTCCCTCCAAATTAAAAAAAAAGGGGGGGAACAAAGTCTATAATTTTGGTTTTTATAAAAGTGTTTGCTCGTCCACGGCTCCACTACCCCTGAAATAGATGCTTAAGGATTCACAAAAGCGCCTGAAGGAAGGAGAGGCCCCCATGTCTCATCCCTGACCAAAGTCAAGTTTCCACAAGGGCCTTCTAAACCTCGTTGGAGGAAAATGGATCTTATTACACCATCAGAACCGTTCACGCGCAGGACAGGTGCCGCCCCACAAGCGCACCTCCAAAGAGCGGCACCTGCAGGAGGGGCCGGTGAGACGCTTCAGGATGAACCTCAGCGGTGCGCAGCCCGGTGCAAAGTGCTCGGAAAGATGCCTTGGGACAGGCAAGTCATATGTCAAGCTTATTGTATTTTCCACCGGGAATCCAGACTCCCTGAAGTCCGTCCAAGTGGAATTCAGACAGGCTCCTGAAAGGAATCCGATGCCCGCTCGGGCCACTTTTTATTAACCCTCCGTTCCTGAGACATAAAAGAGTTTTTGCCCTGAAAGTACTTTGTTTCAGCTACTGGCAATATTTGGCAAACCAACCTCGGGCTAAGAAAAATCCAGGTACGCACGTGTGGGTGCCACGTCCTCTCGGCGGTCACTGACCGCCCCTCAGTGCCCTGGAGGGGCTTGCTATGTTCCTGTCTCGCAAGAGCCCGATGGGGACAAGGCCTCCCGCTGACTGCTCCATGGGCGCCGCAGGAGCTTTGGACGCCACAGCGAAAATGCAAAAACCATGTGAAGAATTTGTATGTGTAGTTCCCACCGGCACACAGGCTCCGACCAAACTTAAAAAAGTGTTCGGCATCATCTGCATAGGATATGTTTAGTATTCGCATCCTTTTCCGAGTTCTATGGCTAACAGCAAAGGCGAATGTCTTCCCGCGTTTTGTCGTCGCGTCTCCATTCCCAGCGCGTTCCCGTTCACAGAAGTCTGCCTGGGTCCCGCCTCTGCGCTCAGGGCCAGCCGCACCGCGCACCCGGGGCAGCCACGCAGGAGAGGTGACCTATGCATCCCACTCACAGTGACAGCACGGAGGGTCGTCTCCTCCTGGGGGTGCCCAGTCCAGGTGTAGACCCAAAACAATACCCATCAGAGCACAGAGTGGGAGAGACCGAGGCCCCACACCTGCCCCATCCACGCCTGGTGTGGTGTGCTCCCTGGTTCGCAGGCAACTCTCCTTCTAATATTGAACGTCAGCGCCTATTAGATTCGAGCACAGCCCACGTGGCAGAGGCCTCCGGTCCACTGTGACGTCTGGCGGTAAACAGGTTTAGTCCATTCTCTCTGTGGGGAAACTCCCAGCTGGAGACCCCGATTTTCCTTCCCCTTTAAAAGACGGCACTGTCGGGGAAAACCCGGCTAGAAAAGAGGGGCGCCTGACGGCTCACAGGCACTCCCTACTCCGTACAGGTGGGCCGTTAGTGGGTCCCCGCCTCCAGCATCGCTGCGAGGGAGGCCGCCCCCACCCTCAGCCTACACCCCAGGGTCCCCGGGGGCGCCGTTCATGGTGATCTTGCTCCGGTGCTTGGACAGCAGCTTCTTGTTGAGGATCCTGGTGAGCGTGACCCCCTTCCTGCGGGGCCCCTCGGGCTGCTGCAGGAACACCAGGTCGTTGTGGGACTGGCTCAGGCTGGGGTCCTTCTGCTGATGCCGCCGGCGGAAGAACAGCTTTGCGCTTTTCCTTAAAATGCCTCCTGGAAGAGCGAAGCACAGGGGGCTGGTCAGCAGGGCTGTGGACGCAAAGGGACAGGGCGTGCCTAGGCCGAGTTGAAAAAGGAGAGAGCAAACTTGAGTGACAGTAAGCAGCAGCTTACTCCCCCAGTGTGCCGCCGCTGTTGGCGGGAGGAGAAAGCACTGGAGTCTGGCTGGTGGGAAGCACTTGAGTTTTCAAGATGGAACGGAGAGGCGGTTATGAAAGCAGAAGCAGTGAGTGGACTACCCCTTGGGATCCCTTTCAGGACAGGTATTTAAATCACTGACTCTGGTCAGCCCCGGTGGCGGCAGGCCGTCCTCGGCTTGGCCCCTTGGGTCCCCTCAGCCCTCCACCCCCGACGCCCCTGTATTAGGGGGGTTGTAGATGGCAGAGCAGTCCTGGGTCCCCCCCAAAGGACAGTCCTGCCACCAAAACCAAAGGACCCCGAGAACAACGGTACTCCCTTTCCTGGAAAAGTTAAATATTTACCGTATTTTGCCTTGTATAATGTACACTTTTTTTGCCCAAGTTTTTTAGGGAAAAATAAAGATGCACATTCTACATGGGTATAATAATCCCGTGTATAATGCACACAAAATGTGGGTGCGCATTGTACACGGCAAAACACGGTGTATGGGGGGGAACAGATTTTTTTATGACTCCACATCAGGCTAAGTCCTGAGAGGTATCTGTCGCTTGACCGTTTTTGACCCACCGAAGCTCAATTTCAGATGAATCGACCTGTGTGTACGTAAGGTCAGGTAGCAGAACACGGCATGAAAAACAAATGAGCAGCAGCAACAGTCATTTCCATTCTAAAGGCTCCTTAAAGGTCAGATGCAAGCTCACACGGCAACAGAACTCGTTAGTCTTACACGTTCACTTTCACAGCCTAACGTCCTGGAGCCAAGGTCCAGCGCGGTCCGGTCCGGGAGCCTGTCCGGCTGGCCTGTGAAATGCATTACCACTTGTGTGTAGGTGTTAGGGACTTTGAAAGAAGAGAGACCTGCAGATCACACAGGGAGCTTTTATCATGAATTTAGCAAGTCATCCTTTTCCTGAGAGACAGATCTGACAAGTTCTTCAACGGCCTTGACCTACGAAAACACCCACCACGCCTATTCAAACGGGCGGGGAGGGGAGGAGCGTCAGATTTCTCCTCCCCAGGCTCCGTCCGCAGACTTTGGACAATGAACACTCACCCACGGGGAAAGCGGCACGCCCGGGACTTTAAGAGGCCACTTGCTGGACCTGACATTGAGGATGAACCCCATGTCCCATGTGCTCTGCCCAGACTCACTAGGCAGCAGAACAGAGCGGCTTGGGAACGCCAAGAAGTGGACCGATTTAATCTGCTCAGAGCTACTGAAAAGACTTAAAAAAAAAAAGGTTTTTTTCCTCTTTGGGTCCAACTAGGTAGTCAATTCTAAAAAATCATTGGGGCACTTTTTACAATGACTGCAAGTGGAGAGCCATGGTCAGGGTTCAAGGACAGCTGGGAGGGCGCTGGAGCAGGAGGCGAATACAGGTGTGCCCGCGGCTCTGCTCTGGCCCCCGGGCCTGAGGTGTGACATCTGTGGGCCGCCTGTGTCCGTTCCTGCAGCCATTCCAACCCCTAGGACAGGCAGCATCACGGGAGGTCACCACCACCAAGTGCACTTGACTTTGCAGTCCGGCTGGTGGGGTGCATGCAGAGTGCCCACTGGTTAATCACCTGGTGCAGCAAACGCCCAGGTGCAGTGTGGGGGCTCCCAGCCTGACCAGGCAACCTCAGGCTGGGGGCGTATGAGCCATTCCTGATCAGTAGGCCCCTGCTTCCGGTTAAGCCTGGCATTCCAGAAGCACATGCAATGTGGGGCTCTCACGCCGGAGTCGGGAGGAGGCAGAGGGGCTGAGGGGCCCACTCGGTGAGCCCGGACTCTCCAACCCCACGCCCCAGCCCGGTCTCCCCAGGGGATGGAAGTGTGGGGAGGGGAGCAGACCGGTCCGCCTCCAGGCCAGCTGGACGCCTGGGGTCTGGGCAGTCGGAGGGTCTCTCCCAGAGGTCCCATCTCCACTCCGAGGCCCCTTTCCCGTGTGTCCCTGCACTGAAACTGCGCTGGGGTCTGGAGCCGGGCCGGGCGCACGAGCAGGGGCGGTGTTATGGACTGGACTGCGTCTCTGCAAATTTCCTGTCTTGGGGTCCTAATCCTCTTATTCAGAGACAGGGTCAAAACAGAGCTGATTGTGTTGCAGTGAGGTCACTGAAGGGTCCCTGATCCAGTACAACTGGGGTCCTTTTAAAAAGGGGAGACTTGGGCCCAGCACAGGGAGATGCCCGTGAGGGGTACAGACAGCGAGCGGGGTGACCCATTTACAAGCCAAGGGACACCAGCGATGGCCAGCAACCGCCAGAAGCTGGGGGAGACCTGGACGGATTCTCCCTCACGGCCTCAGGAAGAACCAACGAGTCGCCCGGCCTGTGTTTCCCCCAACATGACATGTCTTGGCGTGGCTTCCGTGGGGACAACATTCCGTGTCCCCGCTTCTTGGACAGAGGGGAGGTTTGCAGTTCTGAAGGCTGGAGCCCCGGACACACCTCCCGGCAACCTCTGCAGGAGGGAGAGCTTAGCCCCGGCTGGCGAACGAGGAAGCCGAAGCTGTCCGAGGTGACGAGTTCTGGTGACGAGCTCTCTCCTGCTAACGTGGGCCCGGTGTGGGATGCCTGGGTTCTCATGCCTGCTCTTCTCCTCCTGTGCTCTGGCTCCCATCTGAGCTGCAAGTGGACGGGACCCACCCCTGAGAAGTGGCCACCGGGAATCTGTAAGGGGCACGTCTGTGGGCGGCCACTGGGGAGGCCACTGGAGGGCCGGTGGATGGCGACCGTCAGAGGCCGCCACAGAGCAGAGCCCTGCACCCTGTGTGGACGTGGACAGGCTTTCTGGAACGAGGCAAGTCACGCAAGAGGCATGCTGGTGGCGTGGGTAGGACAGGACACCCGAGGGAGACCGGCCCTTCTCCGGGGCCCACTGTTCACTCATTAAGCAGGAAGAAGAAAGAGCACAGGCAGAGGCGACTCCATCATCATTTCCGAAGACAAAAGGTGAGCGTGCGTAAGGCCGGTCACTACGTCACAGCGACCTTCGGGGTCAACGGTGCCGGAGGAACTCGGCACTGCACGGTGGGCGTGGGCTCGAAGCGCAGGCAGGCGAGCACGCGCCCCTGGCAGCGGGGAAGCCACGCTGAACAGAGCCGCCCGGACGGACGAACGCCCGTGTGGTCGGTTTTCTGGGTCGACGTGGCCCGAGCACCCGTGACTCCACCAAGCCCTACCGCAGCGGTCCTGCTGCGAAGGCACCGGGTGGACGTCCACACCGGGTGGCCGTCCACACCGGGCGGCCCGAGCTAAAGGAGGTGACGCTGGACGCTGTGGGTGGGCGTCATCCGACCGACTCAACGCCGAAAGCGCACACACCAAGGTTTCCTGGAGAAGAAGTCCCGCCGCCAGGCTGCGTCGCCAGCTCCCGGAGGCACGTCAGCCCCCAGCGTCACGCGAGCCAGGTCCCCGAAATACGAAACACGGAGCCGATCGGCTCTGGCTCTCGGGGAGCCCTGACTGGGGACCTAGACAGTAACCGATGGGCTGGAGTGCCGCACCTGACCTTGCGCCCACAGACTCTGCCACCCTCGCTGACTGGGGGGCCCACGAGAGGGGGCGCCGAGCTGTATGGGCTCTGCCAGCCTGACCCCTGTACTCCAGCCTCCCTCCTGCACAGGCCAGCGGGCAAGCAGCAAGGCTCACCCACAGCCTTACAGATTCCTTGAGGCAAAACTGGGAGACAGACAGGTTATGTGACCTTTGAGGCCAATAACCAAAATCTCAAATGGGGGACAGGAAGAAAGAAAAAAAAAATCATCTATCTTTCCCTGGTTTCAGCCAAGTTAAAAAAAAAACACAGAAGAGGCTGAAGAATAAACAATCTACGAAAGAATTTGAAAATTCTTCTAAACCCAGCTTGAATAAATGTATCTCTTTGTCTGCAGAGGGTCTCCCAGACGTACACAGTTCGTTGAAGAATCTGCCGTGAAACCTGATGGGCAGGAAGCAGGACCGCAGGCGACCTTACACACTGCCGTCAGCCACCCAGAGAGAGGCTTGGATTTCAGGCTGAGCCACAGACGGCCCGGTGCTAACAGGGACTGCTGGGGGACAACTAAAGATCGGTCTGTATGTGTGTCACCGTCGTTTTGTCCCATCCGCTAACAGAGACAGGCCCTCCCGGACTGGCCGAGAGGACGCTGCCACGCCCATCTGCCCAGGCCCTTTTCTGGAGGACCGTGGGAAGACCAGCGCCCTGAGGAGTAAAATTATAACGGGGCAGGGAAAACACCAAGGGTCAGGGATCGATTCCTGCCATGTTATATCATATATGCTTCCCTTATAGCAAGATCACACTTCGGTTTTTTTTAGAAAAAAATATAGAAGACAAAAATAACTTACTGTGTAGGTAATTAATTCTGGCTGGCATAGCGATCCTCTTAAGGAAAAGGAAATGAGCAGGAGATGAGAGGAGGTGACAAGTATACGAGAGCAAAATAAGAATGAAAGACAGTAAGTTGTGGGGCACGGCGTTCCACACACACACACGCAGCTACTGGGCAGGACACGGGGCGAGCCTCTGCGAACTCACTGGTCCGTGTGCTCCGCATGGCGGGGAGGCACAGGGCATGGACCGACCGTCTCAGCCTTTCCTAGGGGCACGGCCCCGTCGCTTGCGGTGCATTCCCATTGCTGTGCGACCACACCCACCGATATGTAGTCGAGCTAAAAATAAGCCCAACTGCGGGGAGTCAATCTCCTGTATTGGCTGGAAAACCAGCGTATCGGTATGTGCGTGTGCAAACAGCAGAACTCCAGAATTCTACCCGGGCGGCCACTCTCGGAAACCCGGCAGGAAGCTCGCTAAGGGGGCTCCGAAGCCCACCCTGTGAGCCCGTGTTGCAAAGCGAGAGCACGCGCCCCAGAGCTGAGCTCCCTGCAGCGCCAGCTCAAAACACCCGGGGCGGGAAAGAGAGACGGTGCGGCACCCAGAGCACGCAATGGGCAAGGACTCCTCCGACGCCGTCTCCTAGAGAGGCTGCGTGCACATCGCTTGGAAAGCACTGGGATGGAGAAGCCACTGCAAAACACCGCTGGGTCTGTCCCTTTTAAAGCCTCAGGTCGGCAGAGCCCTAGGCCTGACACCCTCACAGCAGGCCCCAGACGCTGACCCTCAGTGGGGAGGGGGGGGACTTGGAGCACGAGCTGGAAGTGCCCCTACCACACCTGCCTGGCACCTTGGTCCCCAAAATTGCCCTTCTGGAGGGGTGTCATCCACCGGGCTGGTGGCGGGAAAGGGGCAGGATGGCCATGACACAGCAAGGACGGACACCCAAGGGGGGGAGAAGCAGAGGGGAAAGGAGGGTGAATGCACAGTGGCCCCTGAGTGGACGAGGGGTCAGCGAGGCTTGGCTTGTACAGATGCACCAGGAAGGCAGGGTGGGAGGTTTGGGTTCTGTGAGGAGAAGCAGGAACGAAGGGAGGGAAGGGGCACCCACCCGCCTGCCTGGGGTCCAGGTGAGCTCCCTGGGGATGCCCTGGCCTTGGACAAAAACTAGGCTAGAGAGGGGTGTGCTGTCCCATGGGCTGGCAGCTGGGCCGCCTCTTCCAAAACCTGGGCCCAGAGGTCACTGTGCAGGTCACAGCTCCCCAAGCTGCTCCAGGTCATCAGACTTGGTCCTCGGGATGACACGCCCCGGGGCACGAGTGGCGGATGGAGGCCTGTGGTCCCCTCGTCATCACGAGGTCCAGACACCATGCCCAGGAGTTGTCCTCCTCTCTCTTTCTCTCTTTCTCTCTCTCTCTCTCTCTCTCGTCTTCCGACTTGCAACTCCTTGCCTATCTGTCCCTACTCTGCTCCGGCCAGGGTGTGGGTCACGAGGGAGAGACACGAAGCAGATGGGACGGAAGTGGCTGAGGAGGGACACCGGTTCCCAAGGACCTGGGGCCACGGGCTGCTGCTGGAGGCACCCTGTGCACTGTGGGGGGTGAGCACGCTCAGTTGTGGCCTTGGGAACTGTCTCCAGACACTGCTGACGCCCCTGGGGCGCAGTGGCCCCATCTGAGAACCCCTGGTCCAGCACACCAAGAACAAAAGGAGCAGAGCAGCAGGGGCAGGACAGCTGACCAGGGTCCCGACTGGGATTTCCTGACCTCTACGAGCTCGGGGAGCTGGTCCCACCGTCACTCCCAGCTGGGCTCAGGTCCCCAACGCTGTCTCCCTCACTGGGCTCCCCTCCCTGCCTGGCAGGAGGGGTTTGGTGGGAGGAGGAAGCTGCGTCTCCGTAAGTCCCGACGTCTCACTGCAACCAACGCGGCCCTGATGTGCCGCTCCCTCACTAAGTGAGGAAATCCGCAGACTGTAAGCTCTGATTTACCGCGGGTGGAAAGCCAGGGACTGCTCTAATGGAATGAGTACCTGGGCACCACACGCGTCCTAAGCTCATCGGCTAACTCTCTGGGGAGCGTCTCTCCGTGCTCCGTGCGGAGCGGTTCGGGTCCCCGCGGTCAGGGGCGGTTCGTTTCGGGGTGGAAGGGGGAGTCTGAGAGGCACAAACGAGTGAGTAGAGGTGCCAGTCTCCACACTGCGGGCGGGGCCAGTCTCTGCCTGGCTTTGTTCTGGACAGTTCCCCTCTGGATGGGGGGCGGGGCGCAGACAGAGGAGGGGCGCCTCTGGGCATGAGCACAAACTCCCCGACAACGGGGACAGACGACCCTGCCGCCCACGCAGAAGGACTCTGAAGTGCCCCTGTCCCCCATGCACAGTGGGCTCAGACCTTCAGTGAGGGGTTTGGGCCGGGGCGGGGACACTGTGGTGGGAGGGACCACGCAGGGGGGGAAGGGAGCAGACCGGTAGACGGAGAGCTTGGGGGCTGGCCCAGGAGCAAAGCCATCGTCTGGGAGGCGGGGGTGCGGCGGGGGTGCAGGGGTTGGGTACCTTTATGCTTTTTGGGCGCGCCTGGCTCCCAGGCACTCAGGGAGCTCTCCGACAGCCCGTCCCCGTCGGGGTCCAGCGAGGCTTGGCCGTCCCAGGCCTCAGCCTGTGACTCCTTCTCCGAGTCCCAGGAGGACAGCTCGCAACCCGGGGACTCCAGGGCCAGCGGGGCCGGGGCCTCGGCCTCCTCCTCGGGCGGGGCGGTGGCCAAGGCCATCTCTGACTGGGACGCGGTGTCCCCCTCGTGGGTGCCGTCCATGGAGGCCGCATAGTCCAGCATGAGGGCAGCGTCACTGTCCTGAGACAGGGAGGTCTGTCCGGGGAGAGAGAAACGGTCGGCGTGAGGAAGGGGGGCACAGACTCATGGGAGGAAACCCCCTTCAAGCATCCCGACTGATTTCCAAGTGTCGGAAGCGGCCCCAGCCCCCACGGGATGGTCGTTTAACATGGCAGCTGCATGGCAGTGGGGCTGAAACTCAGCCAACGCCGGGAGTAGAGGCCCAGCCTCAGCTTACAGTGGTGGTGGGGGGTGGGACGGGGGAGGGAGCCGGAGAGATGACATCCGTCCCCCAGCAGACGGGCCACCACCTGGAAGGCCTGCGGGAAGCCCCAGAGCCACGTGAGATGGAGAAGTGAGCTCATCCGCCTAAGTCTGGGAGATCACGCAGCGTGACCCAGGACGTGACCTCGGAACCCCAGATTCGGTTCGTTTCTGAATCTTTGTTTCTGCAGCACCTTTATATTTTCTGCAGCAGAAACTAATCAGCACCCACTGTGCACCCTAAGAACCACACTTGTGTGTCAAACCTATGCAGGTGCTAAGCTGACCAGTAGGGCTGGCAGTCAGGAAAGGGGCTTGTTAGGGGTGGGAAGTGACGACGGGGGGCACCGGGGAGGGGGGCTCCATCAGGGCTGGTCTCGGGTTCTTGACCTTCGAGCAGCTGCCCAGTGGCATCTGCTTCGTGACAACGGGCAGCTGCTCTTTTCCAACTCAAGTGCTACCTTGCAAAAGTGCCCCTGACTCAAGGTTGGACAATTAGCGCACCAGGAGAAATAGCAACTACATTAAATGTTAAGATCCATGAGTTCCTAATGCTTCTGAAATAAATCCTTACAGGGGATTCACAAGTCTCATCCTTATTTCATTCGTGTGCATTCAGAACTTAAAAAAAAAAAAAAAAAATACAACCCTTGTGTCCGGGAGCCGCCGGAGATGCCATCGCCACCTGCAGGCTGTTGCTGGAAGTGCATGCAGGAAGCCCAGAGAGGCATGACCTGGCTCCCGGGGGGGATGCCTGCCTGAGCGGGTTGGGACTTGAGCACGGGCCACCCACGCCCTAGTTTAATGTCAACACCGGCGATCCACCTCTGGCGCCTCCCGTGACGCACCCTGGCCTTTCTCCTGGTCGCTGAGAGGTCCATTTTCAGCCTGCCCGCACACTCCCGTCCCACCCTCTGGGCGCCCTCAGGGCTCAACCATTCTTCCTCCCACCGTCACATCTCCCAGCTGTCCCTCCATCGCCCACATTCTCCTCCCTCATTCTGGAATGTCCAAAAGAGTAAGGGACTACCGCACGGCCCCTCACCCCCAGGGGCGGGCCTCACGCCCACCATCAGCTCTGGACAAACGTCACAGAGCAGAAGGAAGGGGACCGGGACGGGTTTAATAACGAGCGTGTCCCTCTCGTTTTGCAGGAGGCACAAGACGCTCATTGCAACCAAGTTAAAGTGGTTTGGAGATGTGTCATGTGGAAAGTGAGAGTCCCCCCCCCCCCGCAATCGGGTGGAGGTTCTGTCCCCAAGGGGGGGTGCTGACATGCTGACATCAGGCCTGCCTTTCTCTTGCAGCAGCTTTTCTTCAAATGATTCACCAGGCCCTCGCCAACCGCAGCACCCCCGGTGAGAAACGGTCTCGTTTCCTTCCCACACGGGATCAGCTGTGGGAATGGGACACCGCGAATCGCCCCCTGGCTGGGTGAGGGGCAAGCCCTGACTTTTGGACACACAGAACTTCCTGGATGACGATGGAGTGCTCGGGCCGGCGCCTGCGAGGGGAGGGCCAGCGGGCAGGGACAGACAGGGCACGGCGCAGACAGATGGAGGACGCACCTTGGAGATCCCTGATATGATGATGGTGCTCTTCTTCCGCGGCGAGTTCAGCTTCAGCTTCGAGGACTCACGCAGCTGCCGGATGGCGACCTCAGCCACTGGGTCGGAGCCGTTCAACACCAGCAGTTCTGCGGGGGGAGGGGGGGCAGCGTTGACACCTTAGCAAAAATCGAAACTCTGTGCACCCGTGGTGTACAGCTGATGCCCTGTGGGTGTGAGTTTTTCCTTGATGGGGGGGGGTGACATCGACAGCTGGTGAACCAACAGAAGACCTCTCACCTTTGGGGGGCCTTTGATCTTTAAGGGGCAGCACCGCACCCCCTCCCTGGCCAGACTGGGGAAGCGCACACCAGCGTTCAGGCTACGAAGGGCCAGGGCGTATACACGGCTCCTTCCTTCCCACGGGGACGGCCACCGAGGCCGCCATCTGGGGGCGCGCAACCTATACGAGGCACCGAGCCACGGGCTCTGTGCACATCACTCCGTTCAGCTGTCCCCCAAACCCTGAAAGAGGCACCTTCTAAACCCTCACTTGAGAAAGGGGGACACGGTCAGGCAGCCAGGTGGCGGCAGAGGGGAGTGGAGGCCCAGCCAGGTGTCTCGGGCACAGAGCTGACGCCACCAGCTCACGCCGTGCTGCTCGAGTAAAATTAAAATGACGCCGTGTTCCAGGTCTGCGGATGGCAGACGCTGCCTTTGCAAAGGGTGCGGCGACAGGATGCATGCAGCCCACAGCCGCCCGGCCACCGCCCCCGGTGAGAAGAGAGAAGGGTCAGGAGAAGGGGCGCGGGGAGGACGTTCTAGGAGAGAGCCGTGCCGTGAGCCCCAGTGATGCCGAGGGGCAGGTGTGGGAGGGCCGCCTCCGCACGCCAAGCCCGGTGGTGCTGTGCTGCCCCCAGAAGGCCCTGCCCAGGTGGCAGGCGGACCTGAGACAGCCGCTGTAGCCCTGGCTGCATGGTGCGGGAGCTGATGCCGGGGGCTGGCTCCACTGCATGAGGAACCAATGAGGAACTCACGGAGGGAGCGCCAGCCCCAGGTTCTGCCTGGGGGCAGGGACCCTGCAGTATGGGGCAGTGGGGTGTGCTGCCACGGGCAGGAGCTGAGAGACAGCCCTCGGGACTTTGCCCGTGTGTTGGAGGCTGTGACTCAGGGGAACCCTGAAAGGCTGTACCCCAAGAATCACAAACATTCCCACAGGGGTGGGAATCAACCGTGTCCAACTCCCACCGGGCTGAGGGGCTGCAGAACCACCCCAAGACAGCACCTGTCAAATGAGAATTCCTGCCACCCCTGGCCCGGCCCTGCCAGCTCCCCCTTGCCCCACCCTTGACCTTGGCAAGACCAGAAACAGGCTCAGTGAGCAGGGAGCAGAGCCAGAACAAAGCTGCCCACATGCCCCTTCTCTGACCACAGGTCCCACAGGTGGGGGGCAGTGGCATGAGGTGGGGGTGGATGTAATTCCCACATTTAGATTGGGATGCGATTTAAAGAGACAGTAACATCTCTTCCAAGACAGTTATCACCTGAAAGTAACCATAAACACGGGAAATCGGAACCCAGAGTTCTGGGGGGGAACCCTCCTACTCCCCAGGATTCACAGGACCGTGGAGACAAAAACGAAGGTGGCCTTAGGATGGTGCCTCCCGAGTCCCCCTAACCGTATGATACCCATGGACCAACCGGTGTGTTGAGCAACAGAAAAAAAAAAAAACAACGTTCAGGAACTTCAGAACGTGAGGCGGAAACTGGGTTTCACGTTTATTCTGTTACAGCACCCCCTCGGCCACAGCAGGGTGCCGCCGCCGTTCCCAGCCCCCGACCAACTTCCATTCCCCTCCTTGCCTTCCAGGTTTCTCCTCGTTACTGAGAAAACCTTCCCAGGCTCCCCAAGGGGAGGCTCGTCCCTCCCCAGGTGAGCGGCCGTGAGACGCACCGAGGGGGGTGCAGCGGGTGGGCGGGTGCCGCAGGGGTCGCTTTCCCCTTACCTGTGTCTGAGGACGACAGCGTCTTGCTGACGGGAGCGCCGTGGCAGGGGACGGCTTGGACGGAGATGTCCTTCTCGATCACCCGCACCTTGACGGGCGTCCGCAGGGGCGACTCTGCCAGGGACAGGTCCTGGTTACGATGGCCCCCCCACGCCATCTGAATCCAGGTAGGGGGAGTGAGCTCACACCTGAGTTCAGCTCCGTCTCGTGTCGTTGGGAAAGGCACGGGACGGACCCCAAGAGTTTTTTTTAACAACCTCTCTTATTCTTTTCTTTTGGTTTGGAGGAACAGGCAGTGCCAAAACGGAAGCTCAAGTTTAAACAAAATTTCAGAAAGGTTTTAATTAAGGGAGAATGTCACGTTCTGTTTTGCATTCAAGAACTGTGTCGAGCAACCTATTCTGGAAAGATTATACTTTCGTATGGGCAGATAGACAGCATACATTTTAAAAATAATAAGAAATCAGCCCTGGCTGGTGTGGCTCAGTGGATTGAGTGCCAGCCTGCAAACCGAAAGGTTGCTGGTTCTATTCCCTATCTGGGGCACGTGCCTGGGTTGCAGGCCAGGTCCCAGTAGGGGACGTATGAGAGCCAACCACACATTGATGTTTCTCTCCCTCTCTCCTTTCCTTCCTTTCTCTAAAAATAAATAAATAAAATCTTAAAAAAAATAAATTTTATATATATATATATATATATAAAAAATAAGAAGTCACACAGGCATACAGACGTGTGGCCAAGATGGTGTCTGTGGGGACAGGCACAGAATTCGGCCTCGTCTGACAGGACCGCACATCAAGCCTTCTGATCCGTGACTCTTAACACGAGACACTCCACACTGACCATACATCCTGTGTTTCAAGAGCGCATGCTGTCCCCACATAAATGTGACGGAGTTCTTAATGTAACCAGCTGTTTCACCCAATTACCTCAATTTTAGCTTTAAAATACACTACAGGGTTGACCCTTGCTTCAGCTTGTCATTTACTTGACAAAATAGGAAGATAGTTTTCTTTAAAAAAAAAAAACAAACAAAAAACAGTGCACGAACGTCTCGCCAACCACCACGCTCCCCGGGCCACGAGAGGACCCCAGCAACAGCGCTGCAGCCCGGGGCAGACGCCCGCGGGCAGCGGGGTCGCAGGGCGTGGGGGACGTGTCGCAGGGACACCGTGTCTCCTCTCACCGGAGCTCAGCGGGGACGCCCTCCCCGAGTCAAAGCGAGGCTTGGTTTTCACGGCGGTGACGGTCGTGACCACAGTCCCACAAGGCATCACCGTGCGGTCCTTTTCTATCTTGGCAGCGGGCGCGGGCAGAGGGGTCTGCCAGGACTTTGCCTCAGCGGGCTCCACGTAACAGAACTGCGGGGAAGGCAGGCCATGCGTGGGTGGGGGTGCGAAGGCCACCCCTGGCCTCCCCAGTGGGTGTCGGAGTGAACTGCGGTTAGTATCGGAGCGAACCCAGGGCTCCCCAGAACCAACCAAGGACGATGAGACCCCTGCTGAGACCCAGCCGTGCAACACGTGTGATGGGGACACGAGCTGAAGGGACAAAGGAAATGACAGCCCTTTCTGGGTTAGGCCCACGGGGAGCAGCCTCAGGAAGTTACTTCACATGGCAGACACCTCGACCAGGTCAAGGGCAGCAAGGGTCACAGTCAAGTCTAGGAATGCACAGCTCTTCTCAGGTGAACTCCTTATTTCACGCTCGAGCCACAGCAAGACGGACGGACACAAGTGAAGATGCTCCTCATCCTAAGGGGCAACTTGGCCACCTACCTCTGCGGTGACCGAGCCCAGCACCGAACTGCCCGCCGAGGGCCCGCTGGTCAGTGTAAAGCTCTGTGGCCCGGAAGGCTGCTTCTTGAACAAATCTAACGGGACGGTGGCCGTCGCCAGCGGGGCTGAAAAGACAGGACACGAGCAATGGGCACTGTGCGTGCTTCCAGGACGGCGAAGAGGTCGGCGTGCGCCGCTGCCACCGGACCAGCTCCCGGTCCCGTCCTGTTCCCTGGAGAACCTCTGACAAATGTCAGGGCCAGAGCAACAGAGGAGGAGGAGAGGCGTGACGATCCCTGGCAGCGTCTGAACCCGTGCTGCAGTGGAAGGCCGCTGCTGCCGTGAGCATCAGCCGTGGGTCCCACGACAGAAGTCGGGGACAACACTGGATTAGAGAACGGGGTCGGCATTGGTGCAGGAGGCTGGTCTCAGCGCACCGCAGACGCGTGAGAACGCCCCATCCGCAAGAAATGCACGCTGAGGAATTTAGGGGTAAAAAGACCAAGATGCAGAGAAGTGCTCCCCGGCGGTCCCCACGTTTGCCCAAATGTGTGTGCTCGCGTGGGGGCTGACAGAGAGACCACGTGCACCAGCAACAGTGACCAAGTGTGAGCACGAATAATAATAAAGGAAACAGGGCAAATGTTAAAATGTGTGTCTGAGTAAAGGCTCCATATTGCTCTGTCCTGTGTGTGTGTGTCTGTCTGAGTTTGGAATTTCAGGCCCCACCCCGCGGGGCTGGGCTGGAATTCCAGCGGAGCAGGCCCAGGGTCAACTCGGAGTCACCGTCTCCAGGCCAATAGGGCCCCTCTTATCTCGCGAGCAGCCCGGCCCAGTTATCTCGAGGCCGCAGGCCAACGGGGCTGCCTCAGAATGCTCTCGAAGCAGCAATGGCTTCTTCCTGTGTGTTTGCGCTGTTAGGAGATAAGCAAACGGCCTGGGTTCACCCCGGGACAAGCCCCAGGAGGCCTCCCCACTTCTTGGATTTGGTGTGTTTATGGGGATTTTTTAAAAAAATCAATAAATATTAAAACTACTGATCTGTACACAGGCATTTTCCTTCCCACAGGTTTACGTTCACTTTAGCGATTTTTTTTACCTCTAATTGCTGCTTTCTTGTATCTAAAGCAGGTGTTCCACTCGAGCTACTGTAGCTTATTTTACAAGAAAAAGCCAGGTGAGAGAGGCAACCGTGGCCGGGGGAGGGGTGGGGCGCTGGAGGGGGATGGGGACTGGGTTTCAGCCTGGGAGGATGGACAACTTCTGGCGACAGAGGGCGGTGATGACCGCACCTTCATGCCACCGTGCTGAAGGCCACCGAACTACACTAAAAATGGTTGAGAGGATACGTTTTGTTACATTTATTTCACCACAATTAAGAGGTTTTCTTAAAAAGGTCTGTTGAGCCTAAAGGGGTTGAGAACTGATCCTCTGAGCCAAGAATTGTTAAATAAAAAATTTCGGTTATTTGTTAAAAAAACAAACAAGCCAAAATAAAAAACCAAACCAGATGACTATCCCGTAGTTTGCCATGTATAATGCTCAAGTTCTTGAGGGAAAAATAAGGCTGCACATTATACATAGATGGTAGTAAAATGTAGGCGCGCATTATATGCAGCAAAATATGGTATTCTTTCCCAAAATGTACAACTTTGTTAATAACCGAAATGGACTTTCGACTAAACATTCCCTTGGGAAGCCCCAGATGGTTGGGGGGAGGGGCGGGCCTCCTCGGGGTCCCCCGCCCTCCCCAGCTTCCCAGGGCCCTGGCGGGGGCGCTGGATGACCCTCCCAGAGAGCAGGGCCTCCGTCTCCACCCACCTGCTCACCACCCACCTTCTGAGGCCGGCCCATCCTCGGAAATCTGCAGGTGCAGCTCCTTCGACTTGGCGTTCAACTCGCTGTGCAAGGGAAAAACAGCTGTGAGTCCTTCACATGCTTTCTTGCTTTTCTGAAATAGTATTTTTTTCAGGCATCATCAATATTTTCACCAAAAATATGAAGATTATTAGCAACCTCACTATCCAGAAATGGTTACTGTCAATAGGTGTTTAGTATCCCGCTATTTGGCCTTAAGAGATTGTCCTTAGCCAATTAACAACCAACCCTTAGTAAGGGGTGGGTTGTTTTAATTTTTCATCATCATAAACCCGCTGAGCTAAACACTCTCATCCACGCATCTTCATGCAACTGCGTGATCACTTCCTTAAGAAAACAGTAATTGTCGAATGGTGTGTGCATTTGAGATTTTCTTTATTTTATACCCATTGATGACCGCCCACATGGTTATTCCAATTCACACTTCCATCGGCCATTCTCACTCTTACTCTTCAGACACTGGAAAGGTGCAAAGCTGTCTCTTTCGTGTGAGTTTGCGTTACTTTCACTAGTTCTGAGATTAAACATATTTTCGTAAGTTTCTATCTACAGTTCTTGCTTTTTTCTTTCTAGTTTGAAAATTTTGACCAATTTTCTAAGAGAGCATTGTATTTTTGTTAATGATTTATAAAAGCTCTTTATATTATACATGGAATATTTTCTTCTTCTATATTTGTATTTGTCTATTGTTCAAGCCTCAGAAAGTGACTTTTATATTTTAAAAAATACTTTATATGTTATATTTTTAAAAATATATTTTAAAACAAAATATTTATATATTTTATTTTTTCACTTTAGTGAAATATTGTTTATATTAGTTTTTATATTATTACTTCTATCCTATGTCCACTATTACTTCTCACGGTTTTAACGGCTTTGCCTGAGTCGTCTAGACCTACAGTAACAGCTCCAGCTAATGACCACTTTGCCTTCCTTGCTGGGGGGGTGGGGGGGGGGTGGGGGGGGGGTAGTCTCTTTATCTTATCTAATGGCACTGACCAGAGCTTCTAGAACAAACAGTGGGTATCTGTCTCTTGACTTCAGTGGGACTGCTTCTGGTGTTTATCCCTTTCAGTGACTTCTTAAAGATCTCTTTAAAAACATGCCCATGTATCTTGTTCTCATTAAGATTTTTAACATGAGAAGTGGATATTAAATGTCACTGAATATCTTTGGGCCATATACAGAGCTGTCTTCAAAAAGGAATCTATGTTTGGGGATGGGGGACATGGGGAGAATGGGGACATCTGTCATAGTGTCACCAATACAAATAAAGTAAAAAAAAAAAGAAAAGAAATCTATGTTTGACTTAAAGCTACCTCGGATGCTTAATACACTTTTTTTAAATAAAAAAAACCAAAACACTTTTCTGGTGCTACAAAATGATCGCAGGAGTTGGCAGTCTTGAGTAGGTGTCACCATGGAAACCCAGGCCCATGGCAACCGAGCTGCACGCACAAGGTGAACTCTCCTTCCCAAGTGAGGTCAGCAGTGTGTTTCAGGAGGGCGCTGGAGAACTTCTGAACGGGCTGGTTCAGCCGAGCGGCACAGCGGAGGTTGCGGTTGCCTGTAACCAAGCAAAGGGGCACCGCGTGGCCTTTTACTCTCGTCTGTGCATTGCTTCAAGACACTTCTGCGTATCAAAGAAAGGCTCCATGAAAATGCCTAAGGTCGGGGCTCGCTCACACTTCTCCGGGGCCATTTCATCTTCCATTGGCCATGTACGAGCTCCCAAAGCACCCTGCTTCATTTGGGGTTAAAGATTTGGCACCCCACTTCACATGCAGAGCCCCCCCCCCCCCGCTGGAAGGACCCCAGTTGCCTGCTCGCCCCTTGGTTCTGGCCGCAGGCACAGCCTCGCAGTGGGGGACCCTTCCCGGGGGCGACCTGACTGCAGCAGGGATGCGGCCCCCACTTCTGGACAAGACCCAGCACTCGCCAAAGGCAGGGCACCTGGGATGACTCCCAGAACCCACCGCCCGGCGTACAACAAACAACGGGTGTGTTCTTCACACCTGACTCTGCTCACTGCACACCTTTCCCGGGGTGTAGTTCCGGGTCATGAGGCAGCCCCTGGAGGCACGCTCGGGCTGCTGATTCTGCCTCCAGGCGAGGCCTGCCCATCCACCATCGCATGGCCGTAAATACAGTGCGTGACTGACAGTCACTGGAATCTACTGATCCCACGTGCCTGGTGGCGTTAGGGGTTTCACACACAGAGCCTGACTCATTAGTCTTCACCGTCGGCTTCTGAGGGAGACTCAGACCCCGACAGGGACCCCAACCCGGGCCAACCAACTCCCAGGAAGTCCCCTCTTAGTCAGTAAGCGCGGGGCTTCAGAGGGAAGCACGCAACCGCTGTCACCAAAACTACCTCCCACACCAGCTTTGCAGACAGGGTCTTGGTTGTTACACACGGCTTGTCTGCACTTGGAGCAAAAGGACACTCCTTGCAGGCAGAGAGAAGTAACCCCCAGCGGTCTCAGACAAGAGAAGTTCCTCCTGCTCTCGGCAAAACCGAATCGAAGGGGAGAGCCGAGTCCTGTCCTGAGCTACCACACTGTTGGGGTCTCAGTGGTGACCCAGAACCCCCCAAAAAGTCGTCCATTCTGGGGATCACTTTTGTCCTCACTCAGACGGCAGGCTGTCTGCACCCGTAAACCACTCGTGTGGCGCCTCACCTTCCAGGACAGCAGAAGGGTCAGGGATGCTTAACGTGCATTGTCGGGTTTGATAGTGGGGGACAAGGGGGAAGAAAAGAAGGGTAGTGCCTTCCAGGCTCAGGGAAAAGGGTGAAGCTACCATTGCGTTCCTTCCTTCCTTCCTTCCTTCCTTCCTTCCTTCCTGTTTCCAAAATCCAGGTTGTCACTTGGCGGACTATTGCATTATTATTACAGTTTTGGGGCTCTCTCCTCAGAGGCAGGATCACACTGCAGACCCAACTGGAGGGAGCCACCAAGAACCCTCAGATCACCCCTCCCCCTGCCCAAGCTGTGGGACAGCCCCTTCCACGGCAGGCCAGGCACCTGCCGTCGTCACCCAGCGCTCCGGCCGACCGCCACTCACCTGAAGAAGCACCAGGATCGTTTAGCAGCGAGGCTCGGATGTTCTTCACCAGTAATTTGAGATCGTGAGCCCTTGGAGGTTTGGGGGGGCAGGGTTCCTGAGAGGCAGACGGGGTGCGCCGGAGACTCTGCCGGAAGAGAAGGAGCCGTGCGTGACCCTCGGGGCAGCGGAGGGTGGGGTGGTGGGCAGCGGGGTCTGCCCAGTGACAGCTGCCCTCCTCACCGGAGGGTCGGGCACCATCCGCCAGAACCGTGCCCCTGCTTGGGAGCCATCTGTATCCCCAAAGCAGCAACGCGTTCAGCCAGGGAGGGCTCCCCAGAACCGTGCTGTGGGCGGATGCTGGAATGAACATGTGGGCCCAGGGCTGACCCAGGCCAGGCACTGCAGAGGCAGTGGCTGCCCTCCCCAGGCCGCGGGTCCCCAGGCCGCGGGTCCCCACCCAGGCTGTCCTCGGCCTGGGCCAGACAGCATGCCTATCCAGTGCGCCTTGCTCTGCCTGCACCGGGGCACCTTCTCAGGGCTGAGTCGTTTTCCCAGGTCCCTCAGCCCTGGAAGGACCAGGTCTACAATGCAGGCTCCGAATGGAGAGTCAAGAGTCAAGTTTGAGCTCCCAAAAGGTGGAGGGTCAGGCCTCATCGGGGTCAGACTGTGCTGAGTGGCCCTCTTCCTGCCATCCCATGGGGCTTTGCAAGCCTGAGCCCTGACCACAGAGCCTCCCCAGAGCACGGTTACTAGTGACCAGAGGGCAGGCGCCGGCGCAACCTGGCTCTATCACCGAGAGGGGAGGAGTGTGGCAAACGCACGCCGTCTCTCCCCAGAGGTGGACCACAGTCCCGAATGGGGGCCCACACCCCGAGAACAGGTTTACCTGAACTTCCCTCGTGTCCACAGGTTTGGTGCTCAGAACCACCGACGGGCAGGCGGAACTGACCAGGTACTTCAGGATGTCCTTGAGAGTTTCACAGATGACATTCACCTCGGCCTCCTGGGCCTGCCGAGAGAGGAGGAAGTCACCGAATCATGTCAGAGTCACGCATGCACACACGTGACAGGCCAGGTGAGCGCCGGCTCCGCTCACTGTGTCCCTGGGATGAACACACTGGGTGTCGCCGGCCGGGGCTCCGGGAGGTCAGACCAGGACCCGGGAGGCATCTGGGAAAGGGGGTCCTTTTCACCGATCTCAGAAACAATTCACCTTAAAAAATTTAATCATGGGCACCATAGAAATTCTAATATTTCCATGCATATCCTTTTCAGTCCTTTCCCCCAAACATACAGACATGTGTTTTTTCTTTCTTGGACATTGACTTTTTTTTAATTAAAGAGTATCCAAACACATGGAACGTCCTGATAAGAATGAAGATAGGCTCTTAGAAGAACAACGAAGTTGGAAACTTGCACAGCCAGATGTCAAGATCTGTAAATCGACAGTAATTAATACCCAGCGGAATTGTGTCCGCACATTCCAGAACGTTCACAGTGCCACTATTCATAGCAGCCCCAAACTGGAAACTACCTAAGTGTCCACCCGTAGCTAAATGGGCCCACAAATCATGGGGCCGTCACACAATGGAATGCTTCGGGGCGATGAGCACAAACAGAAGAAACCACCCACGAGACACAGATGGCTCCGGCAGACGTGATGGGGAGTGAGAGGTGCCACACACAGAAAAGCCCTACTGTGTGCTCCCTGTACATAAAGGACGGAAACAGGCACAACCAGCCTGAGCTGTTTGCACAAGGCGGGCAGGATTCTAAGATGACCCCTCACCTCAAGTGCAGGCGGGACCTGAGGCTCGCCCTCTGCCGGTGGATACAGCCCAGGTGACACAATGACAACCTGTGTGTTATATAAGACTTCCTCTGAGCACACTGGAGAAGGGATTTCTCCTGCTGACCTTGAGGAAGTAAGCTTCCACAATGTGAAGAGGCCACAGGGCAGGGACTTGGGAGCTGAGAGCAGCCCACAGCTGACAGCCAGCAAAGAACTGGGACCTCAGTCCTACAGTCACAAGGCACTGAGTTTTGCCAACAACCACACGAGCCGGGAGGAGGGTCCTGAGCTCTGGAGAGGTGCAGTGTGGCCGAGACTGTGGTTACCGCCTGTGAGACCCTTCTCAGCCCTGCCCAGACTGACGGACAAAAACTAGGAGATAATACACCCGTGTTGTTTTTTGCTGCTAGGTTTGTGGTAATCAGTTACACACACAGATAACTCACACTCGGTGGAGTCAGGAGGACGGTTTACCCTTGGTGGGGGCCGGGGGCAGTGAGTAGAAGAGGGCAGAGGAGGTCCCTGGGGAGCTGCTCCCCTAGTTATTGAGCTGGGTGCTGGGCACCCAGGAGTGTGTGGTACGTGAAAGCCCCAAGCTGGGCGCCGACAACATGGGCACTGTTCTGTATATCGTATCTCAGGAACAATCTTTTTTTAAAATAAAAAAAGATTTTACTTACTTTATTTTTTTAGAGAGGGGAAGGGAGAGGGAAAGAGAGGGAGAGAAACATCAGTGTGTGGTTGCCTCTCGAGCACTCCCTACTGGGGACCTGGCCCGCAACTCAGACATGTGCCCTGACTGGGAATCAAACCGGCGACCCTTTGGTTCACAGGCCAGCACTCAATCCACTGAGCCACACCAGCCAGGGCTCTCAGGAGCAATCTTTAAGCAAGCAGATCTATTTTTAAAAACTTCAATTAAATTCCTGTTTAAATATTAATTAAAGCTTTCGTTGTGAACTCTTAAAACCAGGCTCTGATTTGAACAGAGTGCGGCTGGCTGCGCAGGCGTCCACGCCGTTGCTCGTGGTTTCGGGACAGCAGCTGCAGTGCAGTGTTTGCCAGCGCCTGGCAGCCCTGGTCCCGATCCCAGCTCGGCCACTGAAGACTCTGGGGCCCCCTGGTGTGCCTTGTCACCTCTGGTGTAAATACCTTCGCTGGGGGGGGCTGCAGCCTACCCAGGACTACAGACCTGCAAACCTCTCAATGCATGCGTCTGGAAGTGACCTCAGAGACTGGTCGGCAGTGTCCAAAGACAACCGGCTGGCCGGGCCTTGTTACGGCAAACTGTGGCCAAGTCTGCCATTTACTGAAAATCCACTCTCTGAACGAATAAGAATCAAAATAGCTACTGCTGACATCACTCTTAGGATGTGTCAGGCTTGATCTTACACACTTACTATTACTAGTTTAATCTTCATGACCACCTTGAATATCCCTGTCCCTACTTTACAGGCGAGGAAACTGAGGCGCAGAGAGGTGAGGCACAGAGGGGAGGGTCACACAGCTCAGAAGCGGCCAAGCCGGGAGGCAGACCCAGATGTTAAGGCTCCAGGGTCTGCATCGCACAACCGCTCTGCCACCCCTCTCTCTTCAAACGCTCCTCGACACCTTAGCTTCTAATTGAAGTAAAGTTCACATACCATAAAAGTAACCATTTTAGCCCTGGCTGGCATAGCTCAGTGGATTGAGCACGGGCTGCGAACCAAAGCATCGCAGGTTCGATTCCCAGTCAGGGCACATGCCTGGGTTGCAGGCCACGGCCCCCAGCAACTGCACATTGATGTTTCTCTCTCTCTCTCTCTCTCTTTCTCCCTCCCTTCCCTCTCTAAAAATAAACAAATAAAATATTTTTAAAAAACCCCAAACATCTTAAAAAAAAAGTAACCATTTTACAGTACGCATTTAGTGGCATTTCCTGCATTCAAAGAGTTGTACCACCATCATGTCTGCGTGGTTCCAAAACATAGTCATCACCCCCCTCCCCCCACGGAGCCGGCTGGGCTCGGCCCCAGTGGCCGCAGGAGAGCGGGCCTGACAACCAGGTGTGACAGAATGCCGAGGAAAACCGAGGTTTCATCCCTTCGGTGGTTCCCCACCTCGGCCACACACGCGTGCTTACAAACTTCCCAGCCCAGTTGCGCCCACATGGGGGTGGCAGGCAGCCCGCAGGATCCTGAGCAGCTGCCAGGGGAATCCAGGTGCAGCCGGGGCGAGAGCAGGCACGGAACCCACCACCACGCCCACGCGTTCACGATACGCCGCGGGGGCCCCGACACAAACGCACGCACTGACCTCCCCCGGTGCTCTGGGCTGGACCGAGATGGCCATCTCCGGCACGCGGACGAACGACCAGCGGATCTGAATGTCCTCCCTCTTCTCCTTCATGTGCAGCTCCAGCTTGAAGAGGAAAGTGACAGGGGTTATCGGAGGGCTGTGCCTGCCCCGGGGCCTCACCGTGCACCTCCGTGTGTGTGTGTGCGCACGTCTGGGTGTGCTCGCTGATTCCTCAGGCAACTGCGTCGCCCCCCGGTGCCGCACCAGGTGCTCTCGCAATAAAGCGAAGGGTCCCACACTCCGACCTTCCCCCTCACTACCCGCACTCGCCTCTGCCTCCACCCGCCACTCAGCAAGGAACCTCGGGGTTGGTGGCTGACGGCCAGATGTCACGGAGGCTCTGCAGGCTACTTCAAAGTCTCTGCACTCTGCATTTCTCTTCCGGGAGCATCAGCAAGAGGTCAAGGGGAAGGAACCAGGCTGCCCGGGCCAGCCCCACGCCCTGAGGGCCGTGCTCACAGCATGCTGGCGTTCTGGTCCTCTCTTGCCCGGACCACCACACAACCTCTGCCCGGACTCTGACCTCTCACCGTGTCCCATTCAACCCTCCCCATCCGTTGTGGCAGAAACGTGGCCCCCACAAGATGTCCACACCCCAATCCTTGCCACCTGTGAATATGTGACCTCACGCAGCCAAAGGGACGCTGCAGGTGCAATTAGGGGAAGAACCCTGGGATGGGCAGGTGGTCCCAGGTTGTCCTGGGGAGCCCGGGGGATCCTATGAGCCCTTACAGATGGAATAGGAAGGCAGCAGAGCACGCCAGAGGTGTGACGTGAGGATGGAGGACAGATGCCCGGAGCCCAGAGACACGGCTGGCTCCGGAAGCCGGGAGCTGCCCACGGCTGACGGCCAGCACAGAGCCAGCTCTCCATCCTCCCACCGGCTCTCCATCCTCCCACCGTAAGGAGCTGAATTCTGCCAACAACCAGAACGAGCAAGGAACAGGTTCTCCCCTGGAGCTTCCGGAAGGCCCGCCAACACCTGGATTGTAGCCTGTGCTGGAACCAGGCCCCAAGAACAGGGACATCACAAATCTGTGCTGCGTTAAGCTGAGTTTGCGGTCATTTGTTTTCACGGCCGCAGCCAACGAAAACGCCAGCCTTCTCGCTTTTCAGCCGGAGACAAAAATCTCGGCTCTTCCCATCTCCAACCTCCGCCACAGCCCCCAACCAAAGGGAGGAAAGGATGGCTCCAGTGTTTCTGAACACTCGGGACCCTCCTCTGTGCCAGGGAGAGGGCAAGAGAAGGGATACCCTCCCTGGTGAATCCAGAACAGGTGCACTTGCATTTCATCAACACAGGTCCCGGAGCCGGGCCGGGGGGCGAGGGGGGGCGTGGCAGCGGGCCCCACGGTGGGCCCCTGTGTGCCCCTTTCATCCGGAGAAGGAAGACAGGCAGGAGCCAGCGGCCCTGAGCATTCATTAATAATGGACCCATCTCAGGCAGCCGCCTCCGCCTGGGGACCAACCCATGGGCAGCGTTGACACCGTGCTAAGGGATCAAAGATACAATTGTGCTACTGGTGTCCGGGCTTCTCCGATGGCACGGAAACCCATCTCAGAAACCACGCTTGCTCTGTTCGCGTCTCGGGTCCTTGCTGGACTCCCTCAGTCCTGAAACGTGTCAGAGGCCCTGTACGTGAGTCCCCACACTCGGAAGTTGCTTTCTAGACACACCGCCCCATAAATTTGGGGGGGGGGAGTAGGAGGCATTGATATCTGACAAGCCCATGAGGCCAACACTTAACCTCTTCAACTCCAAGAGGGGGTGTTATTGTAGGGGGAGGGGGGCTAGATTTCAGAAAATCAAACTATTCAGGTGGCCGGAAAATCTTGTTCGCCCAGCGTATTTAAAACCGTGGCTTTGTAAGAAAAGCCTATGGAGTATCATCTTCCCTTCCGGTTGAGAATCCTGGGTGACTTAGGCTCAGTCCCCCAAATTAGCAGCCAACCACAAGGACAGAGGGGAGGGAACACAGGGTTGAATCGGCAGTGACTGTTAAAACACGCAGAAGTTCACGATCGTCACACACTCCTGAACAGGGGGCTTCCGTGATCTGCTGCTTCACGTCAGGGACGCGCAGTTATGTGGCCGCTCAGCAGTCCGGAAGTGTCACCTGTGAGTCTGTTATAATTATTATATACGTCTCTCTACATAATCGCTATATATCATTATAAATATTCAGAGATTATTTATATGAATGTATAATTCATATATAAATATACATGAATACAAATATGTAAATATAATTCAATATGTGATTCATATATAATTATAATTATGTATTTGATTATATATTGAATTATATATATATATTCGTAACTGAATTCTATAATTCAGTTACATAGACTATTCAATTCCTAGGCTATGAGTAGACATATACAATAGTTACATGTCTATCATAATAGTTATAATGTCTATTACCCAAATTATAATGGTAATCCTCATTTTTCAACTTACAGAAACAATAAGGGGTCTTTCAAAGTTGACGCCGTCTGGAACTAAAACGAGGAAGCCCCAGTCCGGCCCCCGAGCTGTTCTTCCGAGTGGCGGCCGCCCTCCGAGGCCCAGAGCTGGTTCCGAAACAGCCGCTCACCCGGCCCTGCCCGCCGGCAGCGCCCTGGGCTGTTCAGCACCTCGCACCACGCCACCCCTCCCATTCTGAGTGTGAGCAACCTCTAAATTCCTCACACACGTGTGCACATATGTGTGCATCTGTACATGTGTGTCTACATGAATGTATACGTGTGTGAATGTGTATGTATATAACACACGTATCACACGCACTATTTTATATCCACAGAGTCGATATGGAGGGTGGGGGACAGCTGGGAAGTTAGGAAATGAACGGCAACTAATAAACGGGCCCTGTGAGTTTCTGAGAACGGTTTCCCATAGCCCGGCCGGCGCAGCCCACCCGACCTCACCTGCAGATGCAGGGGCGTGAGCTGCACGCCGTACCGCTGGCGCCCCGCGTCCTCGGGCTCGGCCGGCCCCGCGCTGACCAGGAACTGGATGGTCTTGCCCACCACATGACAAGACACCACCTGAGGGGGACGAGAGAAGTTTAATGGAACTTTAGGGGACAGAGGGATAGACAGAGAGAGAGAGAGAGAGATCAGCAAGGATGAGGCTTTAGAGTTTCAAACTTGGAGAAATACCCAGATGCACATCTTTTCTATTATTCAGAAAACTGGAAAAAATACTTCAAATCTTCTCTTCCCAATGGCTTTCTCGGGAGCTAACGTCTTTCTTCCCCACATCTCGTTGTTGGGCTCCCTCCACATGTAAAGACTCTTTTCTCTAGATACCGCTCTGTCCTATTTCTCCACGCGGGGGGCGGTTTAAATTCCCCAGACGGCTCCACAGTCACAAAAGTGAAACCCATTAGCCATCAGCTCTCACTAAAAAATGAGCCTTAAAAAGAAAATAAGTTATACGTGTGACAAGTAAAAAAAATTTTTTTAATGTATCCAGAACACAAGAAATTGTTCCTATCTAAATCAATTTTAGCTTATCATGGTTTTCAAAGATGGGGGAATAATTCAAAGAACATATGAAATATTAAACAGCTATGAAATTATACAGCTTTAAAAATAGAATTATCAAATGAGCTCGTTTAGGAAGACAAGTAATGACACCAGGAATAAACCAGGCCATACTCCTGATGTAAATCACAAAGCATTTGCGCTGGCTGGTGTAGCTCAGTGGACTGAGCTCCAGCCTGCAAACTGAGGGGTCGGTCACCAGTTCAATTCCCAGTCAGGGCACATGCCTGGGTTGTGGGCCAGGTCCCTGATTTAGGGGGTGCAAGAGGCAGCCGATTAATGTACTTCTTGCACATCGATACTTCTCTCCCTCCCTCTCTCACCCTCTCTCTGAAAATAAAATCTTTTAAAAAAGTAAATCACAAAATGTTTTAGAGGGATGACTTCAACAGTGGTTAAATATCCAGCTCCTGCCCCAGAATTCCTCTGCAGAAGCAGATCTTGAGGGATGAGGGCTCAGCCACCCTGCTGGCAGCATGTCAAGCGGGCCCAGGGTGGGGTGACTTCCAGGCCAGGTGCCCGGCGCACGCCCGTTGGCAGACGGGGCGGTGGTGGAGGAGGGAGGGAGGCTAAGCGGTGACCGGCATGTCTGGCCAAAGCCAGGCCATCGGAGGGCTGAGAGCGAGACGGCACAGGACGGGACCCCCTCCACGTCCCAAGGGACCTGCTGACCCCACATGCGAGGCTGCTACTTGGGAAGAAAGAGAATGTTTTTTCATTCTCTGAGGGGTTTATCAGAATAGAAAATACCAGTGCAAAGATGATCAAAATAGTCCTTTGGTCAGAGCCTACTCCTTCACAAAGTTCAGGCTAGAACGTCCCCTCTTTCCTTTTCCTGGTCCCTGGCTCCTTCCTCCCAACGTCCAGCGTCTCTCTGCTCCAAGCCCACCTGCCCCGCCCCCACCAACAAAAACACACCTGTATCCCAGGCCCCCCAGCAAGGGATCAACTTCCTGTAGCTACCACAGAAGACCTCCAGGCACAGACCCCAAAGAAGGGAATCTTGCCCATGCTCAGTGCTGGCAGGAAACTGCCAGCCCTTATTTCCGCCCATCCTTGGAAGGTCACTTCCCGAAGACTCATTTACGTGGATTAGCTACAGTATCCTCATCATACTATGGCATCTCCAGAGATCACGGGAGGTTGGAACAAGAAAATGTTTGTATAAGAAATGTCATCTATTCATTTTTCAAAAATAAATGCCCTATAAACTGTCCTTTTTGGAGGCACATGGTTTGATGCCAAGTGAGTTCTGCACACAACCGACATGACGCAGAGAAAATTCACTGTCCCTTGTCTCAGCACCCATGTCTTTTTTCTGTAGAAAGCAGACAACCAGATAAATTGACTGGTTTACTTCTCCTATAGCTTTGGGATCTTCGATACTAAGCCAACTAGAATTTTACCAAGAAGACGGACAACTTTAGCCCTGGCTGGTGTGACTCAGTTGGAATGTCCTTCTGTAACTGAAAAGTTGTGGGTTCAATTCCAGGTCAGGGCGCATGCCTGGGTTGTGGGTTCAATCCCGGTCCAGGTGCTTATGGGAGGAGATGGGTCGATGCTTCTCTCCTACATCGATGTCTCTCTATCTCTTTCTCCCTTCCTCTCTTTCTAAAAGCAGTGAAAAAATGTCCTTGGGTGAGGATAAAAAAAAAACTTAAAAAAAAAAAAAAGAAAACCAACAACTTTATTAGCACCCTGACTCAAGCAACCAAGAGGTGGCTTCCTTCGATCCAGCTCTACAAGGAGCCTCCCCACAGCTCCACTCCTTGATACACAGACAGCTCCGGCCCTTGATTACAACCAAATAAATGCACACACACACACACAACTTGAAAAGACATTAGAGCCCTGGCTGGTGAAGCTCAGTGGACTGAGTGCCAGCCTGCGAACCAAAAGGTCACCAGTTCGATTCCCAGTCAGGGCACATGCCTGGGTTGGAGGCACATGAGGGGCAACCACACATTGATGTTCCTCTCCCTCTCTTTCTCCTTCCCTTCTCCCTCTCTAAAATAAATAAATAAATAAATAAATAAATAAATAAACAAACAAACAAATAAATAAAATCTTGGGAAAAAAAGGCATTAGAATTCCTGGAAGGTTAGGCCCCGAAGACTCGATCACCGCACCAGTCGTGTCAAGGAGATTTGTGCCGAGAGTGAGGCACGCATCCACGGGCCGAACAGCTCTCCCCAGAAGCCCCGCTGGAGGGCCCTCCCAGCTGACGGCCTCCGTCCAACCCTCTAAATAAAACCAAGTCCCGCACAGCAACCATTTCCCGGCCTCCCTGCAGCGCTCTGCTTGGGACGCTAATGAAAACCACCACCGATCCCGCCTCCACAGCGGCCAAACAAAGCGCTACCACTGCTCCCACGAGGCCAGGCGCGGGGACAACGATCGGGCCACATGCTCTCCAGGCCAGCCTCTGCCCTCCCGCCACCCGGAGAATAACAACAGTCCATTTGTCAAATGGATGAGAATGACACGCAAAGGAGCTTTTAGAAATTAAGTGATCTCCTTTTAGTGCATTAAGGTGTTATCCACAATGGGGATTAAATTCTGTCAGCCCAGGGGACAGGGGCAAGGCCTCGCCACCGGGAGGGTCCCTCTCATGGAACAGCAGAAGGCAGGGTCCCCGGGGAACAGACCCCAGCCAGTCAGCCGCCCTGCGTGGCCAGGAGGTCCAGGGCTGACAGCCACTGCAGACGGAGGCCCTGATCTCGGTCTGCCCCAGACTCTCCAGCCTGCTGCGGGTTCCCGGTTAGCTCCTCAGAGAGTCCCAGTGGCCTGGAGCTCTTCCAGCCTCGAGGCTTGGCTTCCCCACGGAGCGGTCTGAGAGTGACGCTGGATCTTTCAAGCTAAAGAGAATCAAGGTCTCGTATCGGTGAGAGGGCCGAGGACCTGTCCGAGAACAGAAGCGCACCCACGGGCCCCAGAGCCAGACCCCACAGGGCCAAGAGCACAGGAATGAGGGCCTGTGGCAACAGACACCACGAACGTGCCGCGTTATTCTGAGATCGTTCTCCCAAAGCCAGCAAGGACCTGCTCGGCTCCACAAACCATTCCAAAGTCCAGTAACAGAAGGCTGGGCTGAGTGTCCCAAAAAAACCCCCTTCCTCTGCACTCAGGAAGGCACTAAAGGGAGCGGGGGCAACGCGTGGGAAAGGTCCCAAAGGCAGAAGTCTTGAACTCAAGGAGCATGTTGACATAAAAACATACAAACCTGCAGAGAATTTGTATAAAAACATATTTGAGCCAAACAGAGGATGCACCTGGAAGCAAGATCTCAACAGACTCAGAAAAGTGCTTCTTTTATGCATTTGGAGGTCAGGGGAGACCATAAGGAAGAGCACAGGATGGCGGGAGAAAGCCAGGCGGGGACCAGATTACGGGACAGTGAAGATTGTGTGCTCTCTTGAGGGGCATCAGGCTTTGGAAGGAGGGGTCTGACAGGGGGCTTTTCAAAGGTGTGTTAACCTAGAGGTGTGGATGGAACTAATAGGGCTTGATGAAGGCAAGGATAAGCCTTTTCCTAAAGAAGTTACGTGCCTGGGGTGTGATCTCTCAGGATGACCTGACCCATTAGGCATTCAAGATCAGACCACCCTGGGAGGTTACTTCCTATAGAACCTTTTTTTTTTTTTTTCGGTCCACAAATACCTGGACCGGATTACGGGACAGGTGACGGTCAGGGCATCCCTGGTCCACTTCCGGGATGCAAAGAGAAGGCAGCAGACAGAGGCGCCGTCAGAATGTGAAAGCGAGGACATTGCACCACGACACGCACAACAGGATCCCGCGTCAAGACCTGCACCCTCGCAACCCTGCACAAACAGCTGTCACGTTGAAACTGTGTTCCCTTGTTCAGCGCGGGGCCAAAGAAGGCCAGGCCGGGCACTCCCAAGTCTGGCTGCTGCTTACCAACCAGAGTGTCCCCTGATGCCTCCCCCCGCACCCCGCGCCCCCCTCTTCCCATTTCCCCTTCCGACTCAGCCTTTTGTACGGTTGCCTCAGCTTCTTCTCGCAGAGAACACTTGGGAGAACTGGCAACAATTTAATTACTTTTGTCTCCAAGAGAACTAGGAGCACAGCCGAGAAAAAACGCATCCAGAAAGGTTGATGTCATTGAATATTTTTCATTTGAATCATCCTGTGTAACATCCTGAGAAGACAACTCCGAAATAAAATGGAAGGAAAAATCCTTCGCTAATCATCTGGAGTTCCCAATCAGGTTTCATTCCCAACTCTGTGACTGAGTTTCAGCTCTGTAAAGATTCCTGAAGATAGCATGGCTTGAGCCTTGACGGGTGTGGCTCAGTTGGTTGGGCATTATCTTGCAAAGCAAAAGGTCGCCGGTTCGATTCCCAGTCAGGACATATGCCTGGGCTGTGGGTTCAGTCCCTGGTAGGGGGTGCCTGTGAGTGGCTCACACTGATGTTTCTTTTTTCTCCCTCTCTTTCTCCCTCCCTTCCTTTCTTGCTAAAAATTAAATAAATATT